TTATCCAAGACTTCAAAATGAGATAATACCTTACAAACTAAGAAAAAATTATTGTTAGGTCCATCAAACTTTCCAAAAATCATTATAAACGTCTTCAAGTGATGCGTTCTGGAGACTTTTCACGGTTTATTGATATTAAAATATTTGAGTTTTCTTCATTTATTTTGATATTAGAATTTTTATCAAATGTATTTCTTAAATTGGAATTTAATTTCGCTGCAGTTTTTGAAGTGATTGATAATGAATACCCATCGTATAAATATTGTGGAGCGATGATGTGGAAATGTGAAAATACCAAACCTACGAGGAATTTCAATCAGCCAAAGTGTTCATTGTTCTACAGACAAGGCAATGTGAACCTCCCTCGTCAAAGGCAGGCGCCAAAGGTTTTGAATATGCTACTAAGCAAATACTTCAATGAGACATTAGTTTTTGGAACATGTTCAAGGCTATAATGGGGTATTTGCATAAATTTCTATTGGAGGTAAATTGGAAAGATCTAAAAATGATGGAGAGGAAGTATATGTTTATTCAATGGGAGTTAAGTATATAATCGAATCAATAGCATGTTACCTAAACATACCAAAGTTTGCTCAACTCAACATCTATGACACTGCAATGAACTAAAAAACCGGGTAGATTATTTTCTCCAGAGATCCAATTTCAAACCCTTTTGCGTGATTCAACTATTCAACAATTTCACACATTAAAGTAATATTTAATAAAGATATTTCGATCTACAAGTGATATATTGAATGACACCATTGTTTTGCAAGTTGAAATTAAGTTGCTTGCTAAAAGAGAAGGAGATGGTAGAGAATATGATTTGTCATCTTTAAATGAGGTTGTTGCTTTAATTGTTGATTACTAGGGAGCAAGCTTTTTCTCCTAATACTGTTGTCCACTGTCAAAGTTATGAACTGGAACAAATTAGTATATACCATCTAAGTTTAATAGCTTTGCAATATGCCATATTATTCTCACATTGTGAGGGTGGTTAGCACTCAAATATTCGTATTTTGGCTGTGATGATGCATATGGACTCAACATGAAGAATGTGATTCAATGTGATTTTTACAATTATAGACTTCAAACAAGACTCGAATAGTCAAACTTCAAACAAGACTCAACAAGACTTCAAACCAGATGATAGAAACCTATTTCTAGGGTTCTATCGATAGGGTTGAGAATTTGGGAATTGATGGAGATTTAGGGATATAGAAGAGAATTTGGGGATCATGAATAGAATTGGGGGAAGAACAAGAACGGAATGGCCGACGACTAGAATAGGGATAGAAGAGAATTAGAGAGGATTAGAGAATACTAGGATTTAGGAGATTTGCTTAATATTCTTCTTATTGATTCTCAATAAAACGCAAGGTACATATTTATAACGAAAGACTGGAATTACCTAATAGACTATCCTAATATGACCCAAATACTACTAACCATATCTAATAATATCCTAATAATAAACCCGGAAATTGGGTTTCTATCATCCCATCCCCCTTGAGACCAACCTTACCCTCAAGGTTGACCAAATTGACCTCTTCCTTTGCTGTGATCGTGCTATTCGCGCGTCAATTCCTCCACTCCTTGCGCTTTCTTTTCTTCCAACCATGCTTCATCTCCCAAGTCACTGAGCCCACTCCATACAAAAGAAAACCCATCAGCCAGCCCAATTGGTGCCCAACCCTTCCTTGAGAAATTGGCCCATAGACTGATAGATGGTTACATCCAAACTTCAGCCCAAACTCTAGCTTATTTTCAGCCCATCTCTGAATCTTGTCAAGTGGTACGACCCCTTACCTTGCTCGACTTCAGCCCAACTTACTCCCAACCTCGGCCCGTTTTCCAATTCTACCTCGACCCACTCTGACCAATCAAACCCCGCGAACTCCAACCCACCAAAAACAAGTCTGATCCTCAACTCTGGCCCATCAGGTATGGCAGCCCGACAAGCAGAGTGGCCCAAACGGACGGACCCATCTTCTGTTGTGCAAACTAGGGTTGCTGGAGGAAGGAACCCGCCGCCCTCCGCCTTCTCCTCGTCTGTCGGCCACTTCTTCTTCATCGTCCTCCCCGCCGGCAGCGCCATCTCCGTCAACTCCTTCCTCGGCGGCGTGCGATCCCTCGCCTCCCTCTTTGTATCTTCGTCGCCCGGCGTTTGGCAGGAGGAAGAGAGATGGTTACCCTCTTTCAATTTTCTTCCCGACAGCGCGATCCTCAAGAGGCTAAGAGGTGGCCGCGATCGGGCGTTCTTCATCTCCGGTGAAAAGTTCCTCCCTGAGGAAGAAAGCGTGATCCTATGATCTTCCTCTTCGACTCGTCCTCCGGTTCGATGCGAGCCGCACCTCCCGCCCTCGCGTTCGTCTTTTTGGTGAACAGCTTCTTCTTCTTCCTCGGTGAGCAGAGCACTCCACCGCCGCCGCCGCGTTTCTTCTTCCCCATCTGGTTCGGCGGTGGCACTTTTTTTTCCACGATCTCCCTCTTTGGCCGCAAACACTTCACCCAATGAGGAGGCGAGCTCAAGTCCGCATTCGCCCCCGCGTCGATAGACCCCCCAAGTGGAGTCGCTATCACTCGCGCGGTCGAAGAAGCCGCGCGAAGCTCCTGCTCCGTCATCCCATTCCCCGCCAGCTCTGGTGGTTCGACCCATCAACTAGGATAAGAACCTTACTCAAGCCTCGTTCCAAGAGGAGCCGTCGTCAATCATCGCACCCATCGCTCGATTCGGAACTCCGACGAGGTGATCCAGTTCCCCCTCTTCCTTCCCCACTAGCGGCTTCATCGCCTCCTCCGCGGAATCTTCCCACCGTGGCGGTGAATCGCTTGTCCGACGATCCGGAGTCGAACCTGGCGTCTCCCTCGTCTTCAGATCCCTCTTCTCGTCCATTATAGAGAATGCTTAAGGTCTCTATTTTGGTCTTCTTTTCTTCTTGAACGTCCAGTTTCCAATGCATACCGGGATTCTCCACACGGCACCCTTGACAAAGCTTGAAGCTTCCTGGTTCTCCGGCGTCGCCACAATGGCAATCCCTGGTTTAGGGGTGTCAAGGGCAAGGAATGGCGGCATCGTGGTGTTGATGGTTATTGGCGGTGCTGATAATGGATCCACGGCAGCTGGCGTGTCTTTGGTGGCCGGCACATCCGCCTCCATCCTCTCCTTCCTCACCGGCTGCTCTGCCTTCTCGTCGGGGACAGGAGTTGCAGCAGCCGCAGGTGGTGATTCAAGGTTTGCGGCTGACGTCTGTGAGACAGGCAGCCCTGCGAATGTCGTAGAAAGTTGTTGATGATCGCCAAGGCTCTTGGCAGCCAGATCTTTTTCTTCCACTAGTGGGATTATTTTAGAAACTTGAATGATGAAATTGAGTTTGCCGAAGCCAGCGCGATAATCCGTGACGTTGCAGATGGTAAGTACATTCGATGCAGTTTGTTGTACGACTACGTGCTCTTCCTCGAATCCAGGCAAGGAATATAATAGGCGAACACGATTCCGGTGTTCGCATATGAAAGAGTCGAGTACGAGATCTTCATACGCGCTCGGGTACCATGATAATCAGGTTATAGAACTCCTCCCCGGTTGAGAGTTGTGACGAACTCGTATCCGTAACCGGGCTCTGATACCAGATGATAGAAAACTATTTCTAGGGTTCTATCAGTAGGGTTGGGAATTTGAGAATTGATGGAGATTTAGGGATTTAGAAGAGAATTTGGGGATGAGGAATAAAATTGGGGGAAGAACAAGAACGGAATGGTCGGCGGCCAGGATAGGGATAAAAGAGAATTAGAGAGGATTAGAGAAGACTAGGGTTTAGGAGATTTGCTTAATATTCTTCTTATTGATTCTCAATAAAACGCAAGGTACATATTTATAACGAAAGACTAGAAAAACCTAATAGATTATCCTAATATGACTCAAATACTACTAACCATATCTAATAATATCGTAATAATATCAATAATGGTAATTATGATAAACCCAGAAATTGGGTTTCTATCACAACATTACTACCACTGTCTTTTGGATTCTTATTTGAAAGGTGATTCGGATACCACTATGAGCGTAAATCATGTGATTTTTAACTTCATCACATATATCTAATCCTCTATATAAGTATGTAAATTTTGACTCAAATACTACGAAGAGCTGTGTCCTCCATGGGCGCCCTTAAGGCTCCGGGGAGAGATGGGCTAAATCCACTTTTTTCTTTTCAGAAATGTTGGGACGTAGTGGGGAAGTCAGTTGTGGACTTTGCAGCAGCTTGCTGGAGTTCGCCTGAGAAGATCAAGGAAATCAATGATACGATTGATTCTTGTGTTGATTCCTAAAGTTCCGGCGCCCTCTCTCATTGAGCAGTTTCGGCCGATCAGTCGATGCAATGTCACTTATAAAGTAATCACTAAGTGTCTTGCTGAGAAACTGAAGCAGCTCATGCCGGAGCTGGTGGCGGAGACGCAAACTAGTTTCGTTCCGGGACGCCATATCACAGATAACATCTGCATCCTCCAAAGGATTGAATCCCAAGATTACGACATACTTATACTGGATAATCGAACATCAAAATTGAAAATTATTTATACAGAAGTGCAAGATCCTAATTACCATAAGGAACAAAAAGAATTTTGATCCAAACTGAGCAAACTACAAAAAAGGAAGGTTCTTTTATCACATTCTTGATTGGGTAGCAAAACGACAGGTAAATTTAATATAAAGTGAGGGTAACATGGGAATTGTACATGTGCAAATTCAGCAAAATGATAATTTGAAATAAAAATTCGTTGATCGATTTTACAAGTTTTTTATCTAATTGAACCTGATTTTACCATAATATTTGATGAATTCAGACGAAATCCAAAACAAATATGTGAATGTGACGCATATTTTTCCTACCTAGTCCGGCTCAATTCGAATCAACCCGCCGTTAACCCGGATTAACAAAGCTAAGCAAACAATCATAAACAAAATATTTGACACACCACGGAGTCCCAATCCATCGCATTTGTCTCGATCCCTCTCACTCAGCGGCGCGTGTGACACACCGCCGCTCACCCTTTGCTTCCCTCCGACGCCACATCCGGCATTCGTTACTGCCGCCGTCCGTCCCGTTATTAAATAAAAAAACATTAATAAGAGGAAGAAGAAGAAAAGGAAATTCAATTAAGCGGGGACTCTTTTGATTTTTATTTTCATTTATATCTTTTTCCTCCCCATCGTTTCATCTCTCTCCCAAAATTTTCCCCCTTTTCCATTTCTCTCCACTCTGATTAACATGCACAATCTCCTTTACGCCATGCCCGCTTCCTGTTCTCCATCTTCCTTCTCAAAACCCTCCAAATCCTCTGCCTTCTCAAACCCTACTGCATCGCAGACTTCCCTATCTTCTTCCTCCTCATCATCTGTTCTTCTCTGCAAGCACTCTCCATCGGCGACTCTCGACCTTCTAATCCTGATCCTAGTCCTCTTCGCCGGCACTTTCCTCCTCACATCTTACTTCTCCTACATCTTCAACTCCGTCTCCCTCCTCTTATCTCATTCATCAATCCAGGTCTCAATCCAGCTCCCGCCGGCGTCGTACGTTTGTGGGTTCCTCGCCTTTTTCCTCTTCTCGGTCCTCTTCATCGAGTTCTGCTGTGGGTCGAGATCTCGCAAGTGCAACAAGCCAGGATGCAGAGGGTTGAAGAAGGCGATGGAGTTCGATTTGCAGCTGCAGACCGAGGATTGTGTCAAATCCAATGGCGCCAAGGAGATCGATAAGTTGCCGTGGAAAGGTGGGAGTGAGAGGAACCCGGATTATGAGTGCTTGAGGGCTGAGCTCAGGAAGATGGCTCCCCCTAATGGGAGGGCGGTTTTGCTCTTTAGGGCAAGGTGTGGATGCCCCGTCGCGAAATTGGAAGGCTGGGGACCTAAGCGAGGCCGGCGGCATAAAAAGTGAGTTACTTTCCTGGCTCTCTATCGGATTGCCCCACTTTTCAATCAGATTGTTTGTTGATTGGATTTGATGGGTTTCGAATTTGTTGTTTCGTTTGGTTGCTCTGTTGGGAATTTGTGAGAGATCGGGTCTGCAGAATTTGATCGCATCAAAGCCCTAGTTCTAGGATTTGGGCAATTGCGTTAGTGACTCCCGTCATCTGAGAGTCATTGGCGATTGAGTTGGATTGAATTCCGGAGGGCGATGCCAATTTTTCATATTGTAGTCATGCTTGGCGATGGACATATTCATGCTTCTCTGGTTGGCGATCTGCAGTCGAACAGGAGCAGAAATTCTGCTCCTTTTCCTCCTCCCTTTTGGGTTGCTTCCATGTCTCTTGTCTTGACGTTTCCGAGGACATGAGGAACTATTTTGGACGTAAAGATAGATGGGTTGTGATCGATTTCTACTCATTGGAGATGTTCATATTATGTAGAGATCCTCTGCCTACCATCTTCCCGGTCTCACAATTGTGGACTACTTCTTGTTTGTAAGCTTGGTTAGTGATGGAAACACTGTACAGGTCGCACCTAGGGTGCAGAAGTAACAAATCGTTTCAACATGATAACAAGTCCTTCAGTTGTAAGATGATGTTGCTGAATGCTCTGATTGTTCAAGGCTTAGCTAGAATAAAATCGTAACTCTTGCCTAGTCTACCATGGTGTGAAACTTATGCTATTTTCTTCCCTTGTTTCTTTAGAATGATCAAGATTTTGAGGCTGGATTGTCTATCTAAAACCTTTAGTTTTGCTAATGGGTCGGTATTGGTCCTGTCCAAACTTGCACTCTACCAGTGTGCTATATGCTTGCTGTACCCTTGGAGATTGAATGCTTCACGAGGGATTTCATGAATTTGATGTATCCCAAGAGAGCATACATGAAGTTAAAACACCTAATGGCACTAGATGCTTTCGGGAAGTATGGATTGTTGTTGAATCCAGTAGTGTTTTTGGCAGAATGAGATGCTACTTTGTTGTCTTGTCAAGAACTAGAGATGCTTTCTGCGTAGTGTTGGCTTGTCTTCTTTTTTTGTACCAAAGAGCAATTGTCTGTTCAATGCTCTGTGGACAATGAATCTCTCCAGTTATACAAATTCTTGTTTGGTGAAGCTGACTATCTAGATTGCTTTTTTAGTTTAGAGAATTTAGCGATACTAATGAGTCTCTTACTGAGTGCCCGATAAAGCTTCTGCGGTAGCTAAATCTACTGAATTTAGCATGAGGAGGCCAACCAGGTCTTTGCTGTTTCGACAACCACCCTGCTCTTATCAGTTACTATTGACGTTTTCTTTGACAGCTGATATTTAGTATAGCTAAAAGTTCAAAGGCAATACTGGCTGGGATAATATGGTTGAGTTCACTTCAGAGAAAGGTTCATTTGGCACTAGGCCAATGGTCCAATTGACGAAGTTAGTTACCTGGTTGACTATATGTAGTAGTGCACACATTCGGGCACTCCACCCCTTTATTATATTCTCCCATCTTGTTTATCCCGTGTACGTTGAAATAGCAAAGAGGTGGGAATCCCTACCTGATATATTTGCCTTATTCGCCTCTCAAATTTCCTCCTTTGATTGTCTTTTGATGAGAAGATGCCTTATTTTAGAAAATTTGATAGAACAGATCAAGCATTTTGTGTCCCATCGCTGTGTCAGAACTCAGATGTTGCTAGTACACATTGAAGCATTTCTTTCTAGAGTCATGTTTTAGGGGAACTCCTTTGCTATTTGATTGATTTTATCTACACTCCTTGGTCAAACATATCTGACATTCTCCAGGAACTAAGTACTTGTGAAATCTATGATGCCATAACACAACCATTGCGTGCTTAAAATAGTCTGGCAAATGTTTTCAAGTACTTGTGAAATCTTTTGATTGTATATTTGTATTTATTAACACTACATAATTCAAGCTTCCATTTCATGATAAGATATTAGCCGAATCATTCAGCTGCGTTTTCTCCCAAGGATGACACTTATAACAAAATCTGTGTTCTTGTTGCAGGACTCTGGCCAACGTGGGTGCAGCAAACAGGGATCTCCATCGTTAACCGAAGGCGGTGTTGCGGATGAAGAGCAGGCTCTTCCTCTTCCTATTATACCCCGGGTTTAGATTCTAGGAATCCAGTTCTTTGCTATCTCTCACATAGACTATACAATTCCAGAACAAGATAATGTTTCAAGATCTTCCCGATGAAACTCATTATACTTTTTCTTTTCCCGCCTGCTCTGGGAGACATTTTTCTTGTTTCTGGATAGAAAAGATGTATACTTTATAGACTTGGTCATTCAATTCTGGAACTGGATCGATATAGCATTGTCAATGGGAATAAAATAAACTATGCTCGTCATCATAATTCTATATACAGCTTCTTCTGGATCAAAAGTTCCAATCTTTATTTCTGAATTCCCCGCTCGCTAGGCGGGACAGTTCAATTTCCGTTGTAAGGCTCCGCAGTAGTAACAGCTCCGAGAAGGTCTAGTTTCAAACATGGCGGCCCCTAATAAATGGCTCTCTTATCTCTTGGGCCTGGAAGATAGCGATTAGGGTAGTCAAAATACTAATGTTGCCGTCTCATGATCCTCTCATCTCGCAAACCCACTTTTCTACGTCGCCTCACGAGCTCTTGTTCGCCTGCGCTACAATGTTTCTCCACCGGAGCTACCTTCATCCGCAGCCCAATTCACCGTCTCCGATATGGAGCTGGTTCCGGAGAAAACCAGCAAGCCTCGGACTACGAGCTTGCTTTGGTCTCTGCTCTGAAGTCATGTTGCCTCAACTTGGATGTTTCTCGAGGCAGGGGAATCCACGGCCTGGTTATGAAATCCGGCCTGGAGTCCAACAACTTCGTGGAGAACAGCTTGATCAACATGTACGCCAAGTGTGGGCACTTGGGCGATGCACACTCAATGTTTAATTCATGTTCGAAACTGGATCCGGTGTCGTATAACATTATGATCGCTGGGTATGTGAAATCCAGAGAATTGAATGAAGCCCGCAAGCTGTTTGATATAATGCCTAAGAGAGGCTGCGTTTCATATACTACCATGATCATGGGGTTTGCTCAAAGCGACTTCTGTTGGGAGGCATTTGAGATTTACAAACGGATGAGAAGCGAGGGTGTGCTCCCGAATGAAGTGACGATGGCGAGCTTGATATCCGCTTGTTCGAGCTTGGGCGGGATCAAAGACTGCAGAATGCTTCACGGACTGGTCGTCAAGATGATCTTCGATCAGATGGTCCTCGTGTCCACTAATTTGCTACGCATGTATTGCTTGTGTTCCAGTTTAACCGATGCCCGAGCATTGTTTGATGAAATGCCGGTAAGAAACATCTTCTCATGGAACGTAATGCTGAATGGATATGCTAAAGCTGGAGTTATTCATCTGGCTCGAGACGTGTTCGATAATGTCCCAGAGAAGGATGTTGTATCTTGGGGCACAATAATTGACGGCTATATACGAGTAGAGATGCTGAGTGAAGCTCTTTCGATGTACCGATCCATGGTATCCTCAGGTTTAGAAGCTAGTGATGTTATGATGGTCGACCTGGTTTCTGCTTGCAGAAAAGCACAAGCAATCGGCGAGGGTCGGCAGCTACATACCATCCTCGTGAAGAAAGGTTTCGACTGCTATGATTTTATCCAGGCAACAATAACCCATCTCTATGCAGCTTGTGGCAGAATCAAGGAGGCTTGTTTTCAGTTTGATCAGGGAATCAAGAAAAATGTCACCTTATGGAATGCTCTCATGTCGGGTTTTGTGAGAGTCCAGATGATTGACCGAGCAGCTAAGTTGTTCGATGAAATGCCGGAAAGAGATGTTTTCACTTGGAGCACGATGATCTCCGGTTACACACAGAGTGAACAGCCTGCCATGGCGTTGGAGTTATTTCATAACATGGTTGCAACTGGTATCCAGGCTAATGAGGTGACCATGGTGAGTGTGTTCTCAGCAATTGCTTCTTTAGGCACCCTAAACGAAGGCATTTGGGCTCATCAGTACGTAGTAGATAGCTATATCCCTCTTAACGACAATCTGAGTGCTGCAATCATCGACATGTATGCGAAATGTGGGAGCATACGCAATGCGTTGGAAGTGTTCCATCAAATCCGTGACAAAGCAGCCACCGTCTCACCATGGAACGCCATTGTATGTGCTCTTGCCATGCATGGACATGCGAACCTCTCTCTCGAGATATTCTCCGACCTGCAAACACGAGGTATCCAGCTCAACGCAATTACATTCATCGGGGTTCTCAGCGCCTGCTGCCATACTGGGATGGTGGAGCTAGGGAAGAGATACTTCGAGAGTATGAAATCAGCCCATAATGTGAACCCCGATATCAAGCATTATGGCTGTATGATCGATCTCCTGGGGAGATCTGGGCAGCTTGAAGAAGCAGAGAAACTGATTAGGAGCATGCCAATGGAAGCAGATGTGGTGTTATGGGGCACACTGTTGGCTGCCTGTAGGACTCATGGCAATGTGGATGTAGGAGAATGGGCTGCCGAGAATCTGGCGAGGCTTGAACCATCTCATGGAGCTAGTAGAGTTCTTCTGTCCAATCTGTATGCTGATGCAGGGAAGTGGGAAGACGCTTTTTCGGTTAGGAAAGCTATGCAAAGCAGTAGAATGCAGAGATTGCCTGGCTATAGTGGTGTGGAGTGATTGCATTACTTCTTGTACTTTATATCCACAGTTTTTTAGTAACTGTAGACGATTAAGAAACAGGTTTCTGCACAGAGCTGTAGTCATGTACGAATCCGCTTGAAAGGAGAGATGCTGTGTTGTAAGAGTTGTAAGATTTTATCAGTTCAGTAAGATTTTATCAGTTCAATAAACACCTTTGATTTAAGTTGCAGATTGGTTGGATGTATTAGGGAAATCAAATTTTGCATAATTAACAGTTACATATTCTTTTCAGACATACTTTTAATATCAGCATTTGAAACTGTTCACGTAATGTTAAACAAATTAAAATGATGAAATCTCCAATATAACGAGGTAAAAATAATTATTTCTCACGACAATTTCCTTTAGCTATATTAATTATCAAATACATCCCACTTAATATAGTTGTGCAATACAAATGCACCAGAACAGATACTAAACCAAACACCAAACATATTGTTGCTTGGACTTGTATTTCAATAGTTCTCATACCTAGACTGTACAAAGAAGAGCCCCCTGTTATTACTGCACAAAATTCCTGACTATAGCACATCTTATGTTAAATCTGGCTATCAACCAACAAAGATTTCCTGCCTACAGCAAAACGTGGTAAGGAAAAAGAACGGCTACCAGTATGAAGATTACTCCACAGGAAAATGGAGAAAAAGAATGGCAAATCATTGCATTTCAATAATCAATTCAGCAGCAGCGCCCATGGTGTCCAGCCCACCGGTACCAAGCAAAGCTAGAGCAAGTTCCTCTTCATTCCACTGTCTCAACCCATTGCTAAGTCGCTTTAGAACATCGGGTTCCAGGTCAAGCACCCATGGAGGTGTGCAGCCCACCATCAGGCTCACGAATCCCGACACATACGACTTCCAAGTTGCACTGTCACAACCAAGAGAGATTTTGCCATCAAGGGCACTAGCCAGAAACTCCATGTGAGCCCTCAGGACTTTAGGGCGCCTCTTGGAAGCCGAATATGAGTTGTCTATCCCCCAAGCAAAAGCTCCACAGAGCACAGCGAAATATGCTAGTGCATACCCTCTCAGCATAGCAACCATCCCTCCAAGGCTGCTGCCATCTTCTTCTTCTCCCAGCTCGGAGCGATGACTAGAGATAAACCAAGAGGGCAATGTCTCTTTGAACAGTAGTTGAACCAACCCTAGCCCACCAGATAAGCAAACTAGAGAAGCTCCAAGTGAAGCCGCGAGTTTGACTCTTGTCATTGCTGCAGCAAGTGACACTTGGCCACATTCGAGTCCATTTTTGGTCCTCTTCAGCCTCCCTAATCTCTCTTTTGGAAGCCCGGTGCATGCAACTTGTGTCACGGACTGCATCATGAGAGAGATGATCTCTTCTGTGATGAACTCGATGTCTCTAATCGACTGGTAGACTCTCAAGTAGAGGATTCCTGGAGCTACTGGGGATATGCCACCAAAGAAATGAGAGCCAAAGCCATGACCAAGAAGTGCTCCGACTCCGCCATTGCTTGAGATGGATGCGCCACAGAGCGTAGCAGTAAAGCAGCTTTTTAGGAGCTGAAAAACGGCATCGTTGCTATGGAGGAAGACCGTTCGTGATGCCGAGAACACAAGAAAATCAAACCATCGCTTGGCTTTCTGGGTCCATAAGGAAGCCACAATTGGCATGCATGGCCATGGACAACCTGCTGCAAGAGATTCCAGTGCTGGACCAGCCAAATTGAGGAATCTTTCTGAGGTTTTGTCGATTTTGTAAGTGATGGTGAGGCTGGCAAAAGCTGCTAGAGGAAGAGGAAGAGTTGCTGCGGGTGAGCTTCCTCCTGTAAGGATTATCAAAACTTCAGTGCAAGTTGGCTATGAATCTTGTGAATTCGGGATGTTTTTAGTTAGTATGATAGTAATTTGATAGGTTTTGTGATGTTCATTCTGCATCCTACTACGTTAGGTGTAGTTTAAAAAACATTGTTTGATTCAATGTGTCGGAAAAGTGGAAAAAAGACAAGTGGAACTCACTTTTCCGAAATGCATTTGAGAATACTTCCGACCCCTCAAGTAATTGAGGATTGCAATTTGCATCGATTTGGAATGTTTGAAATTGCATGTGCAGTTTCAAACGCATAATACATCAAAAGTGTCAACAAAAAACGATGTAGATAAATTGCATGTAATAGCTCGAGGGACCAAGAAACAAACCTGCAGCAAGACTAGGAATATCGACCCCAGTAGCTGCTAAGATTTTCTTGATCTTGTCTTCAACATTGGACAAATTTGCTGCAGGACTTGGCCAATCTGTCCCATTCATGGATGCCGGTTTCCAAACACCTCGACTAACTTCAGCTGAGAAGTAACTAACAATGGTTGCCAAACATGCAGGGAGAAAATCTGCCAAGTTC